ACCGGGGGCACGGCCCGCCCGAGAGGTCACGATCGCCGTGACCTACCGTGTTCCCTCGTCACACCACGACGATGTCGGGGGGAAGGCGGGTGATCGCGGATGCCGCGCGGGCGGGCGGGAACCACACCCCGGTCCGGAGTCCTGACCCTGGCCCTCACAGCGGTGGTGGCGCTCGTCGTCACCGGCTGTGGCTCCGGTAGCGGGGGAGGGACGGCCGCCGACTGCGACACCAGCCGCGGGACGCTGGTCGTGGGCCTCGTCGCCCCGCTGACCGGTGAGCTGGCGTCGGTCGGCCTGGGCATGAAGAACTCCGCGGACCTCGCGATCAAGGAGGCCAACGACCGCTGCGCGGTCCCCGGCTACCACCTCGCGATCCAGAGCCAGGACGACCGGGCCGACCCGAGGACCGGTGCGGCGGCGGCCCGGACGCTGGCGGGCGACCCGTCGCTGATCGGCGTGCTGGGCCCGTTCAACTCCTCGGTCGCGCTCGAGATGCAGCGGGTGCTCGCCGACGCGTCGATCGTGGAGATCTCGCCGGGGACGACGGCGGTCCAGCTCACGCGCGGATCGAACCCCGTCACGGCGCCCCTGCGCCAGTACCAGTCGTTCTTCCGCACCGTCGCGACCGACGCCGTGCAGGGACCCGCTGCGGCGGCGTACATGGCCGAGCAGGCCGACCGTCGACGCGTCGCGGTCGTCTCCGACGGCAAGACCTACGGCGAGGGCATCGCCTCGGAGTTCGGCAAGCAGCTGGCCACGGTCGGCGGCACGGTGGTCACGCGGCTGCAGCTGCCCCCCGAGGCGTCCCCCGCGGCGGCGGTGGGCGCGATCGCCCGCTCGCGCCCCGACGCCGTGTTCTACGGCGGCGAGTACCCCGGCGCCGGTCCGCTGTCGCGAGCCCTCGGCGCTGCCGGGGTCACCGCACCGGTGATGGGCGGCGACGGCATCGTCAACCCCGGCTACGTCGCGGCGGGTGGGCGCGAGGGTGACCTCGGGACCTCGGTCGGCGCGCCCCCGGAGACGATGCCCA